CATTCATAAGAAAAAATAAGACTCCATGTAATTTATTTGGAAGCTGAGTGGTGGCCCACCCACCAAAGAGTGAAAGGCTAAAAAAATCTAACAGCAAAATAAAGTAAACATCTTGGGGGGAACTTCTATGACAATTTAACCCATTTTATCTGTCACAATTTTACACTTAAGAAAAGTGAGATTCAAAAAGGCTTAAGTAATATTTGCCACCAAATTTTACAGTTTGGTGGAGTAAGAGTCAGCCAAAGTCAATGTAATTCTAAAACATAATTACTTTGTAATATAGTATGCTGTTCCTAAAATAATTAAAAATGAAAACATCATTCTAAGCTAAATTTTTCAGTTTGAGTACTTAATATATTAATACCCCTGGGCATTATTTCAGGGAACTGTCATTTCATACTTTACATATTCTTTGGTTAATTTTCTTTTCTTTTAAAATGAGTTAGAATATTTTTATTTGCAGTATTTTTTTTGGTTTTTTTCGAGACAGGGTTTCTCTGTATTGTTTTGGAGCCTGTCCTGGAACTCGCTCGGTAGACTAGGCTGGCCTCGAACTCACAGAGATCCGCCTGCCTCTACCTCCCGAGTTCTGGGATTAAAGGTGTGCGCCACCAACGCCCAGCTGAGTTAGAATATTTTTAAAAAGCAGAAAAACACTAGATATACTAAGATACTTATCTAATACTAAACTGAACTATTAAAGAGTTTAAAGCTGGAATGATGGCTCAGTGACTCAAGCACTTGCCACCAAGCCTATTCAACTCCCAGGATCCACATGATAGAAAAAGAAACTTGTTTCCAACAAGTTGTCCTCTGACACACATCACACACATACATGCACACACACATACACAAGCACATACATGTGTGCATACATACAAGCATATACTATGGTGTATGTATGCACAAACATAAATGTAAACACAAAATAAAAGCAATTTTAAAATTTGGCTATTAGCTAGTGTTGGTGAAGGACATGAGGAAAAAGTTTATGCACACTTACATGTAAATTGACGGCTTTGAAAGACAATTTGGCAGCTGCTACCAAATGTAAAATAAAGTCAACCTTTGATTAAACTTTAAATCTAGAAATAGACCTTGCAAAATTATTTGTACCACAAGGATCTGTATGTATGTCACCTATAGCACTGTTTATAATAGAAAAGAAAAAAGGAGAGATGGGGAACTGAGGAAAGAAGGAAGGAATGGAAGTGAGGGAGGGAAGGAGGGAGGGAGAGGAAAGAAAGAGAGAAGAATGAACCTAAACTCACTGGAGACTGGTTAAACAACTTATGTGAACTCACACTGTAGAACAGAATGTGACAAATAAAAATATGATGGATATCTACAGTGTCACAAATATTATATATATATTTATATACAGACAAGGAACATATGTGTAACAACCAATGTGCCAATAAATAGGAAGTATAGTTGAGAAAAGTAAATCATAGTATACTTAATGATACCATTACATAAAAAGGTAAGTACGTTCTAGACACATTGAAATTACTACAGAATATGATCATATATGCATATATATGCTTGTATATTCATGCACACACATGTAGAACACACTATACATACTTGTATACAAAAAATGTATAAAGAATACCTCGAAAAGTACATTAAAAGCCTTAATAGTGATTAGTTCTGGAGACAAGGTATGGGATTGCATGTATGCAAAGGTGATTTTCCATTTTACTAGCGAGGGTTGGTCAATAGTATTTGTAAATGGGCTATCAAATAAAAAAATTTTAGGACTGTGAGCCACATAGTCTTTGTTGTAGATGCTTTGTTGCCATGAACACAGCCATAGACAAATGAGTATAACTGTGTTCAATAAACCTTTATTTATGAGTACTTAGATATGAATTTTATAGGGTTTTCACATGAGATACATTAATATTATTTGATTGAATAACAGTATATAAGGATGTTGGTGCACACTTGTAATCCTAGCACTGAGGAGGCTGAAGCAGGAGGATTGCCACGAGTTTGAGGCTACTCTGGGCTAATGGATACCAGACCAATTAGGACTACTTAGCAAGAAACTTCTAAGAAAAAAAAAGAAAGCCAATTTAGTTCTAGGATATACAGAAAGAGATGCTAAGCCAAAACTGGGGTACAAATTTCAGATCTATATGACTTTCTGTGAAAACACAGATTTGTAATGACAAGGAAGACACACTTGGGTGTGAACATAGGAAATTTGAATAAAATACTATAGAACCACTGTCTCTCAATACAATAGCCATGAGTGACACATGGCCACTGAGCCTTTGAAGTATGGTTACTCCAAGCCAAGAGTGCAGTAAGCATAAAAATGAAGAAGTCTAGCACACTGACTAAAAACAAAACAAAACAAAACACCTTTTTAATCACTTCATATACAGTGGTTGCAGAGATGGCTCAGTTTTCAAGAACACTGACTGCTCTTCCAGAGGCCTAGCATTTAGTCCAACCACCCACACAGTAGCCCACAATTGTGTTGTAACCCCAGTTCCAGGGGATCCAATGCCATCTTCCAACCCACATAGGCACTATACACACACATTGCACTTACATGCTTGTAAAACACTCACAAACATAAAAATAAACAAATTTTAAAAAATTAACTTCATGTTTAAATAATATTTCAGATATATTGTGTTAAATACAACCCACCTACTCGAGCATTTTCAATTACATATTGTCTTATATTTCTATTAAACAGCATTGGTATATATATACTTTTATTACTTGAATTTATTTGCAACAAGCTTCTCTTTGTTATTTTTAATCTTAACAATGTCAAGGTGATATCAATAACAAAGGTCTGTAAATTTGTAATTCACTGTAACATGAGAAATTATACTATTAAGTTTTCTAAGGAAATTATTTGATTATTATAGGATCTGTAAGAAAGAAACACCTTATATCCACTAACCATTTACAGGCACTTGAAACTTTCATATTGTTCTATTGTGTTCATAATATAAACATGTGTATACGTGCATATACATATTCATTTGGATCCATACATATCATTATGGACACAAATATCCAGTAGCCATCAAAGTCATTGGGCAATTGTTTCTCACTACTGACACTCAAAGATAGCATAAATTCTGATCCATCACCCTTGCAGAGTTACAGGGAAATGACACACAATTTTCTGAGATCTCCTTTCCTCTCCTACTGAGAATATATATATATACATATATATATGTATATATATATATTTTTTTGGTTTTTATGAGACAGGGTTTCTCTGTATTGTTTTGGAGGCTATCGGTCCAGCCCGGCCTCGAACTCACAGAGATCCGCCTGCCTCTGCCTCCCGAGTGCTGGTATTAAAGGCGTGCGCCACCACCGCCTGCCTGAGAATATTTAATTTTATGCCAATGTCGATCACATTTTTAAGTTCAATTTATCATTAAATTAGATAAACTCATGACAGCATTATGCTACAAAACAATAAGTGTTAAAGACTTTTCAAATTTTAACCTACTTTCACCCTCCAAGTAGGACAACTTCTAAGAAACTGACAGACTTAGGAGGCTTTATATATAGTCTGTATAGTTAGATTTTTTCTTTCTATTCTTTTAATAAAGTTCTTGTCTGTGAGATATTAATTAACTTCTTTTTATTTTTTGTAAATCAGAGGAAAAATTAAACTGCATTTTTTGCCACATACAATCAGTTCCTCCTAGGTGTCAAAATATTTATGTGAGGAGATACAACTAGCTTGAACAAATATGAATGATACAATCTAAATAAAGAAAACTAAATACAGTTTGTGGTTAGCTTTCCACTTCTTTTCTTAAAGATAAAAATTTCACTACAAAGGGTAGTCTGACTTCAAACCCACCATTTTCCTTTAATCAGCCTCTTTACTGCTGGGATTAAAGGTGTGTGACACCATGTCTATCTTTGTGATTATATTTTCATTGTCATTTCACTTTTCATAACTGCTGACTTCATGACTGCTTACCCATGTTAATTTATTATCAATGAAGATAAATTCAATCAAGAGAATATGTTAAATATACACAACATTCTCCATGTCATTTTTGGTACGGATATAGAACAGATACCCTAATTTGTTCATTAAAGAACCATACTCAAATAATCTCTTTTTGACTTTTTTTTTCATGGCAGGGCACTTAATATGACACTTGTCTCTGCTAAACCTGGTTTTATTCGAAGAGGATTTCAGAGGGCACTGGAAGCCCTTAGTTTCCCTTCCATCCTCCAGTGTCTTTAGAAAGCAATTTCTAAACCACCATTTCCACTACCCTTTTAATCTCTGTAAATTGTTGGTAAAAGCTATGTCAAGGCAGTTTGCCAACAGCAGCTCAATCATATATGCACTATCAGTGATTATTCTAAAGAAATACTGTATTTAAGAGAATTCACTCTAGAATGTACATCTATCAGACTAGAAAGACAAAATTCAGACCTTTCAGCATATATCTTCACATGTCTACAATGATAATCATATAAAACATAAAAATGCATTCTTAAACTGCCTCATAAATTATTTTATTATTCAAACCCTAGGGCACGCGCACACAAACACACACACACACGCCTTGTACTTGAATGTTTGTTTATATTATCTAAAAGTTAACTGTATAAAAGTATCAATTCAATTGTTAAAAATTTCATCCTTACTACATAATTTGTCTTTGAAACTCATCATTTTTATTATTGATTTAGTGTTGTGTTTAAAGCTGATTCTACATATATAGGCTTTTCATTATGGAAAAACAATTGGCCCCTTTAGCCTTTATTTGAGGTTATTATATGTTCTTCATGACATGCTGCATACCAACAATAAATTGTTTTCATTTAAACTGGTACAGATTTCTCAAGAAATTCTTATTTCCATGGAGTTATATTTTAGACCGAATTACAATGCTCTATGTTTTGTGATACTTCTGTGTTTTTTGAAATTCCTTATATTTTCAAAACGAAAAAAGACAAACAAGAAAAAATTGTTTGACTCACCTTTCCCACATTATTGCTGTATAATTTCCTATAGGGAAAATTTCATATTTAGTAGTTCATTTTTTAAAATCTTAAACTAAACATTAGATTTGTTAAAGGGACAGATCCCACTCTTAGTTCACTTCACAAGCTAGGCATTTTAGGGCAATAATTTTCAAGTCCATTTGACAAATGTATGAGACTTTTTTCCTGAGGGTGTAGTTTACAGCACCTGGCCTTGGGGTTTATCCTAAGCACTACAGAAATAAAAGAACATTAAAAACTCTGCTGCTATTTGTTTATTTATTGACAGGGTCTCCTCTTGTAACCCAAGTTGGCTTCACACTATGAGACACGGGCTAGCCTTGGACCCACAATTCTCGTTCCTTAAGAGACTTGAGATTACAAATGTGTCACTGTATTCAACTTGGTTTTATTTATTTTTGAGATCATATGATACAGCTTTATCAATCATGTTTTCCTGATGGCACTCACAATGAATAGAGTAATTAAACTATTTTGTATCAGGCTTTTTAATGCAAATTATTGAGCTAATAATTAAATTGCTTGAAATTTACCCAAATTGTTTTATGAAGTAGACATTAGCTTATTGCTTTCTTATATGGACAATTCTCAGTCTAAAATTTAGACTGACATACATAGACAGCTGCTAAACAATATCTCAACATTAGCAATATACAGAAAAAAGAAAATATTAGAGAAATTATTCTCTAATTGTAATATTGCTTGTTATTCCTTCCAAAATACACATAAACTTTAATAACAATGCAATAGCATAATAATCAACTCACCAACCATAAAAGTTGGAGCTCTCTTTCAAGTAAGTGAATAAGTGATGACAACAAATAATCCAACTACCCAGCACAGATGTGAAAAGGACACCTTCTTTGATCATTTGTAAAGCTAAGGTGCTACCATGTTAACATAATTTGCATTAAAATCATTGGACTACTTATGCTGGGGGAATTGACTGCATATGAAAAAATTATAAAGGTGTATTTTTTAAAAGCTATGTGTGTGAGTCATTCCTATTAATAATGTATAAAAACGAAACTTTTAAAATTTGCTCCCTGTACAAAATAATGACTTTTTCTTAAAATTAAAAGTATTCTTTTTTATAACATATATTTAATTACATTCTAAAACATGTGAAAGAAACAATTAAATGCAAATAACAACATTTTAAAGTTTCTATGGTAGCAAGATATACAAGTAAATACAATCTTTCAATATTGTCAGTTTTCCTTCAGCATATAGAAAATAAAATCATTATTTTTAAAACTACAGAAAAAATGTAATATCTAGCTAGTTCAAGTTTCTATTCCTAATGTAAGAGAATTGAAATATAGTAGATGCAATTTTACTTATTACATATACCATGTTATTTTCTGCTGTGAGTTAAAACTTAATATCATAGCTTTTCTATAATATTAGGAGAAGTGCATTATCTGGTTTTGGATTGTTTTATATTACTTATTTGTAGAGGAGCTTTTATTTGTTTTTTTCTTTTTTTGCTTTGGGGGAATCATATTTGAAATTTACTACTATGATTTAGTCAAAGATAATATTTCTGATATTTATCATTTGTTCTCATGCTGTACTAATAGTTGTATTATTAATAATTGTACTAATTTAAAGCTAACTCATTGGTTAGACTTACCATTGGTCAGAAAGCAGAAAGCAATTTTCAATCTAAAAATATATGAATAGTAGAAAACGATCAGCCAAGAGTCCTTTTTGCCAGTAGTTAAATTAGAAGGATTTTCTATTTTGTAAAGAAAATATGAAAAGAGTACTTTGTAAACATAGAAAGTCATAAATACAGGAATAGAATTAGCAAAAGAAATGTAAAATAATTTAAATAAACAATTAAAACCAAAATCACCTAGGGAGACTAAAAACAAAAATGGGAACAAGATGCCAAAACTGATAAAATTAGTAAAAAAATTTTTTTAATTTCATTTTGTCTTCTTGGAATTTTGTTTACACTTTTGCTCACAAAACATGCTATTGACATGAATCTTTATTCCTTTCCAAGTAAAAAGATCTTAATTGCAATATTACAACTACTTCTTCTGCTTGAGAATTCCTCAAATTAGTTTACAACTATTTAAACTAAACACAAGTGCAGCAAATCTCTCATTTCTAAAATAGCATTTAAGTTCTTGATTAGCCAGCAGAGAGTAATATTTTCAAGAACAGTTCAGCTTGATGTAGAAACTCAGGAGCCATGGACAATCTATGTGCCACCATAGAAAGACATAATCTCCCTCTTGGTTCTGGCTGGAACTGCATCAAAGGGGTTCTGTCACAGGATTTCTTCCCTCTTCCCCAGGCCCCTCTGACTGAGCTTCCTGACAGCATTAAATCCCAAGTGAAGGGAAGGCTCTTTCTTCTGATTATTATTTTAGTGTTCTGTTTTGTTTTTGGCCAAGATTTTTGTTTCTAAGGTTAATGAACATACCAAAGATTTTCAATAAAAGCCGATTTTCGTTTTGTTTTGTTTTTTAAAAGAAAAGGCCAGGAGATTCTACTGCATCTTTCTGTCTTGTAAATTTTTCTTTTATCTGCTATAGGCTATCTTAGTAAGTGTTCGGTGTGATATGTGAAACTATAAAAATATGAACTCTGGAAAAAAGTGAAGGTACCAAAACCAAATACATACCCGATCCCTGCTTGTAAAACAGCATTGTGCTTCAATATGTGGAACCAATCCCAGCAGCAGAA